CATAAATACATACATACATACATACATACATACATACATACACACACGTACATACATGCATACATATACATATACATATACATATACATATACATATACATATACATATACATATACATATACATATAAACATATATATATATACATACATACATATACATATACAAATGCATATAAACATGTGTATATATATATATGTATGTATACATCTGCGTATATATATATACATATATAGATACACACATATATATATGTATGTATACAATGCTCAAAAAATGTATGTGTATGTGTGTGTCTATATATATACGTATATAAACGTATGCATATATGCATGATTTGGGGTGAGTCTAGGGCAAAGGGCCTTTAGGATACAGGTGGCAAGATTAGTCCGGGTTCGGTCTGTAGTGCGGCCTTTCAGATAGCAACCCAGTAGTAGCCCTTCTTGCAACCCGAGCAACCACAGAATTTGGGACCTTTCAACACGTTTGTTTCAGGGTGTCAGACGTCCTGGTGCTGGGTTGAGGAGTGGAGGTGGACGGCCGCATCCACTCTTAAATGCAAAAACCCCATGTACTTAATCATGTTTTGCTGTTGCTGTTTTTGCTTACACTGTCGGTCCATACATCGATCCAGTGACCCTAATAACTACTGGTTACATAAACATACATACATACATACATACATTAATACATTCATACATTCATACATACATACATACATGCATACATACATACATACATACATACATACATATATATATATGCAGGTGCATGTACATACATGCATCTATACATACATACATACATACATACATACATCTATACATCCATACATCCATACATCCATACATCCACACATCCATCCATCCATCCATCCATCCATACATACTAGACACATACATAACATACAATACAGTACAATACATTTACAATTACAATTACAATACAATACAACACAATACAATACAACACAATACAATACAACACAACACAATACAATACATACATACATACATACATACATACATATGTATATATATATATGTACATGCTAAGTCGATGCCTGCGGCCGACAGGATCTTAACGAACTCCGGGCTCGGAAACCCCACCTTACGGGCGTTGCAGCACGAAGATCCAGAGGCCGATGCACCTCTGAGAAGCCCGAACGCTTCTGCTTGAAAGACTTATTTGGAACACCCCTCCGAACGGCTCCAAACGGAGGACCCTAGTTCACCCCTCTGCTTCCTTGCGCAAGAGGTCCACGGCGTCCTCCCAGCGCTTGCCTGGTGCTATTAGGTTGGCAACAATCAACAATCACTACTATTTACTAGCCGCAAGAAGAGGAATGACCATCACCCTCGCGCCCTGCATCATTAAAATAGTCATTGACATTACTGCTTCTTCCTCCTCATAGTCATCATTACCATCATCCTCCTCATCATCGTCGTCGTCATCAACATCCTGGTCGTCGTCTTCGTCAACGCCATCATCACATTGTGAACATGCTGATCATCAGACCTCCGCAACCCTCCTTCTCAATCTGTGGCAAGCACCGGAAAAATCACCGACAAATCATCTGGGTTATGGTGGGAACTGCCGTCGGTGTAGCAGTAGTACTAAGATGTAAGCATCCAACCCAAAAAATGTATAATGTATAATGTATGTATGTATGTATGTATGTATGTCTGTATGTATTGCACTTAATGGTTCAGCACCACGGTAGTTGCAACTACGACTGTGACGACGACCACGACACATGGACATGCCAACGACGACGAGCATCACTGGCAATATCAGAATCATATTAACAACAATAACGATGCTCTTTAAGCCGACCTTCTCTGACAGCAAACTCCACATTGTTCGATTACAAACAGGCTTTTGTGTCAGATCGGGTATTCGCGACTTGCTGACGGATGTCTCTCAGGAGACACCAGGAGCAGCAGCACTGGCAGAGATCTGGCCCTTTCGAGCGGAAATGCCTATGATACGAATTCTCAAGATTGCAAGGTTTCCCCTCCTCAGAGGCTAGACCCAAAGCTTTTGCATTCTGGGTGTCGGGTTGCGGACTGCAGGTGTTTAGGGTTTAGGGTGGCAGAAATTCAGCTTGAGGCTTGCAGGCATGAGACCCTCACAGAAATCGCATCCTAATCGAACCGCAAGCCCAGCAAACGTCTGCAAGCTCTTCGGTCCTTATGATGATGGGTATCATTGCTATGTAGCTAGAGTATACATGCAATATAAGTGTCACGATGATGTAGCAGTATTACTTTGACCGCCACTGTAAATAGCTACTATTACCGACTGCCCATCCCCCTTAAGCCGAAAGCCGGGCGGCACTGGGCATAGAGGCGGATGAGGATAGAGAAGGTGGCCACTGAGGGCTTCCTGGTCCCGACAAACGTAGCTCTGCGGCTTTCGGGCTTAGGGTTTAGGGCTTAGAGTTTAGGGTTTAGGGTTTAGAGTTTAGAGTTTAGGGTTTAGGGTTTAGGCGGAAGGGTGGGCAGCGTGTTCAGTTTAGGGGTTACGCCTTAAACCCTACAAAAGCACAAAGCCCACCATCTGCAGCCCAGGCAAAGCTTGCCTCCAAAACAAAACAAATCGCAACCTCCGTCCCAGGCCCGAGATCCTTGTAAAATGCGATTCTACGCATGAAAATCAACTTTCGAAGAGAAGGAGTTTATGACTGGTGTAGTTTTTCATACTGATGCAGCCACCACTATGATTATGATGATTGCTCTTGCCATTATTGCCAGTAATGTCGCCTTGACTGTCTGACTGTTATGATCATATGACTGTAGTGTTCGCATTGTTTTTTTCATACTGGCGATTACGAACCTGATGCATTATGCTCTCATCATTGCTAGTCTGGCTGAAACATCAAGTTCCACAAAGCTTGGCCAGGTGCACTGAAGAGGCCAGCATCTCCCTGTAAAGATCCTGCAAAGCACGAGAGCGCTCTTGCGGTCGGGGGATTCGAAATGATGTAGGGTTTGGGGCTCCAATGGCGTCCAGGCCGTCCCATTCTGTAGGGATTAGCGATGCTAAACGACACCACGACTCAAGCTTTGCAAGCCTCGTCTTCACTTCCCGAAGACCAACAACCAACACCCCAAAACCACCTAGATCGCCCTACAACTTGGCTTCAGGAACGAAAGCCCCCTACCCTAAACCGTAAACCCCTAAACCCCTAAACGCAAACAACCTTGACCCCTAAATCCCTAAACTCGAGAACCCTAATGCCTAAACCCCGGAAAACGTAAACCCCTGAATCGATGAAGCCTGAACCCGAATCCCTAAACGTTGAACCCCAAAGCCTTGGCCAGGTCCATCTTGCAATCGTTGATGCAGCCGCCTAGGAGGTTGTTGAAAACCACCTGAGCCAAGGGCTTCGGCTTGGGAGTACTGTGGCCAGTTATGACCATGAAAACTATGATGATGATGATGATGATGATGTGACGACTATGATGCTGATAATGATGCTGCTGATGATGATGACGATGATGATGAAGATGAGGATGAGGATGAGGATGATGATGATGATGACGACGATGATGATGATGGTGATGGTAGGGGTGATGATTGTAGGGGTGATGATGGTAGGGGTGATGGCGATGGTGATGACGATGATGATGATTGTGATGGTGTTGGTGAGGGTGAGGGTGATGGTGATGACGACGGTGATCATGATGAGGAGGAGCAGGACGACGACGACGATGATGATGATGCTGATGGTGATGGTCAGGGTGATAGTGATGATGATGATCAGGAGGAGGAGGAGGAGGAGGAGGAGGGTGATGGTGATGGCGATGGTGATGGCGATGATGATGGCTATGGTGATGATTTTGATTGTGATTATGTGTATGAGTATGATGATGACTGATTGGCTCAATGCTAATCCATGCTTCTGATGTCCACGGGTATCCTGACTGTCATGATGCTCTTGTGCTTGTTCTTGGTTCTATCGGTCACCAAAGTTTTCGTGGCTTTTATGATTCGTCGGTTTATGGGTTTGGGGATCCCTCAACCTAAATCGTAACCGCCTACGACCTGAAATCCCTAAATCCGCTAGACCCCTTAGCCCTAAAGCACCCTAAAGCACGCCCCAAACACCCTAGAGCCCTAGAGACCTTTTCGGCAAATTGGGAACTGGTCGTCCCTGAAATAGGGACCCCAGTGAAGACCCCAGAGTAGTAGGATCCTGCCATTGTATAGTGACCGTATGGGGCCCTGCTACACCCGAAGCTCCGCAACTTTCCGAACCGAAGGAAGCGATGGGAAAAAGGCTGTAAGCGCAAAAAGCCCAGGGGAAGAGGCACGGATGAAGAGCGCTAGAACCCAAAAACCCTGGAACCGTCCAAAATCCTGAAGTCCCCGAAAACCCTGAAACCCAAGACTCCTAGAGCCCCAGAGCCTAGACCAGGGTGTTCTAACACCCCACGAGTCTACACCGCGGAATACTACACCCCAAACCCATTCACCCCAAAGTCCTCAACACCAACCTCCCAAACCACAAAAGCCCTATTGAACCCACAAAAAAGTCCTGAACCGCAGTGGAACCCCACCGCTCCCCTGAACTCAACAAGATCTTGAAACCACCTAAGGCCAAAAGTCCCAAACCGGCGGCCCCCAACATCCGAAACCCTACCAAAGCCCCGGACTCCAACATCCTGAACCCTAAACCCCCATAAACCCCCTAAAC